AATCATTCTTCTTTTTTTTCATTTCTAGTTCCACAAAGAATAATAAAAGTATTATTTAATCACTCTTGATTTATAAATTACAGGATAAATATAAAGAAAAATTAGAATATTTAATTTAAAAAAAAGTAAAATTTCATGTAAAGATTAAGATTTTTTAATTTGTAATTTTAGAAAATGGGGAAATGATTATAAAAATATTTATATTTCTTTCTTCACCGAGAAGAAATAACAAACAAGCATCTGCCAACTTGAAAATAGTTTAACTAGTTAAGAGCTCAAAAGTCATAACTTTTAATCCACACTACAACTTGTTATACTAAAAAAACAAGAAAAACGATTATCAAAGGTATTTTTATTTTAATTTATTAAAAGGAAGGAAATAAAAATAAGTGACCTGAACAATAAACATGAAATAGAAATGTTATCCTGTCCTAAGTTAACCACCGATTACTCTCATTAAGCTAAAATCATCTGTGAATAAATGAATTTTTTTTAAAGTGAATTAAAAATTAAAAACAAAACTGTTTTGCATAAAAAATAATTTAGCAAACAAACATAACTTTTTTTAATTGAAAAAAAAATGTATAAGATTACAATATTGGGGGAAGAAATGTTAGCCCACAATGTTAGGTATGTGATTGGCCTAAAAAATCCAAACTTTTTGTCAAAATTTTCAAATGCATCCAACTTAGACATTGTCACTGTCTTCTAAGTATTCAACCAGCATTTTATCTGTCTCTCCCCATTAGACCATATCTTAACCTCAAATCCAAACCACATATTTTTCATCAAAATCTTTTTTCATTTCTATTAAATATGTTTTTTAACCTTTTGTTTTATTCATGTATCTTTGATAACTATTGTTACTTTCCATTTTTTAAAAAAATAATTTTAAATATTGACCCAATTAAAAATATAAAACAAGTCGAAACTTTTTTTTTATATGTGTTTAGACATTTTATAGAATATTTTTATTATTTAAGAAAATTTAATTTCCAAAAACATGAAATGAATTTATAGAAGTCATAATTAAGTTGGCCTTTGAACATTTATTTGTTAAAAAAATGTGTATGCTTCTCGTCTATTATAGTTTTTTAAGAACTTAGAAAACATTATATTGCTGAGAAAAGCACGTCGTAAACTATGTTTCAATTCTCTTTTTCCCACTAAAAAAAAGTCCTTTATGATTTATAAGATGAACTTGTATGAAAGCTAAAGATTCAAAATGAAGTTTTTGGGAATTGATTTCCTTAAATTTTTTATCCAACAAATTTTTGTGAAGACAATTCATTTTTTCCGGATGCCATCTTCAGATGCCTGAAATATTGGATATCTAAAATTATAGAGGTCTGATATCTTTAGATAGTCATTGTTGGGATAAATTTAGAGCGCTACATGGTACACTAGTGGAGAAACACGTGAAGTCCACGCGACTCAATAAGAGGACAGCGTCGAGCGTACCAAATGGGAAATGTCGAGCATACCATATGGAAATACAAATACAGTCAACAAACCTTGCATTCAGAACCCGCGACGCATTTGGTGACATGTCAGACCTTTGTACTTAGTGGTGATGCGCGACTCTAAAAAGTCGAGAGCGTAGAATGTCGGGAGTCCCCATATTCTCTCGCTAGTCCCTCCCATTCTTTCTCTACATCTCTCTCTATATGCAAAAATTCTTACTCAAATTCCTACGATAAATTCTCAACACACACTCTTACGCAACGTATGTGGCACTCGTATGACGCTCACCCCAGAAATCGACATCAACAATCATGTTTGTTTTACCTGAATAATTATAAGATTGTTTGAGAATACTTAGATCGCTATTTATATTTTGTAAGATTTGTACGTGGGTATGTATATTAAAATTATGTATTGTTCCAACAACCTATACCGGTCTATACGTGTGTGTAATTTAATATAATTTTTTTTAGTACAACAACACTTGAGAGAGATATGCCTTCACCGTTTGAAAAGAAAATTATTTTATAGATAAATATAGCATATTAATATAATTGTATTTAGCCAGTTATCGATGAATTATTGCATGCATTATTTTTAAAATAAAATATAAAAAAAAATTGATGGAAAAAAATACATAAAATGAAAATAGCCAAGTACAAATATTTTGTCAAACATCTTTGGAGATTACCATAAAACAAACTGACCCCTTAATCTTTTAACTTCTATGATATTACATATTTTACTCCTACCACAATAATATTAAAGTATACTTTATTAAATTTAAATTTCAAATGTTGAGGTCCATTTGACAATGATTTTAATTTCGTTTTCTTTCTTTAAAAATAAAGTTTTTAACACCTAAACCTCTCTCTATATATATACTTTATTTAGCTCTAATTGTTAAAAAAACAAATTACATATTTTCGACAACTACTTTCCTCCAGTTTGACCGTGACTTTAAAAACAATTTCAAAGTAGATAAAGAAGAGAAATGAAGGGAAAAGAAAAAAGTTTAGTAAATAAACATAATTTAAAAATATAAAATTGAAAAGAAAAAAGACGTTACCACCCTAAATCAAAACAAAAAGTAGATAAAAGTTGAAGAGAATATAATATCTAAATTATATTTACACAAAAATAAATATTAGATTCAAAGTTTAGTTTCTAAACCTTCGTAATCTAATATGTGTTATTAAACTCTGAAAGTGTAGACATGAAATTTTAGGTCCATGAATTTTGAAAGATTAGACGCATATAAAATTTAATAATTTATTAAACACTTTCTAAAGTCTAGAAACTTATTAGACACATTCTTAAAAATTTAGAGACTAAAATTATAATTAAAAAAAAATTCACATTTTTCTAATACATGCGGTGTTGACACAAAAAAACGACATTCCACGTGACAGAAGAAGTGTCAAGGTATAACTGATTATATCTCAAAATCGAATAATAATACTTGAGAACCCCACTTAGCTAGGAACAACTTTTGCAAAAGCCAAAGCAAGGTATATGAGGAAACCGCCCTTAATTGCCCATCCATCATTGCAGAAGTTCCACAATCTCGTAGTCGTGGTAAGTGGTCGGTGAATGAGACCCACCTAATTACGCCTGTTGCTGTTAATGCATAATTCTGACCTCCTAAATGAACAAATCGATCTATGAAGGAGCGGGGTATATGAAGGAAGACTTGTAAATAGAGAGCAGACACTCTAACGTTCAAGTTAGTATTAGTCCGACTTATTCACTCTCAAGACAATTATTACCGTAGTTGACTTTATTGAAGTTAATTTTAATTATATGAGTTAAGTTTTAGTGGGTTGGTTAAATCTTTTAGTTAGACTTTCTTTTAATTATCAGAGAGAAGATAGTTTGATTATTTTAATGATGAATAGTATTTTTCTCTTCTCTCTCATCACCGAATAACAGCAATTAGAATTGCATACTTATATACACATCAAAGTCTCTCTATCATAGGAGTAGATCGGTGGGTCTTACTTACCGGACAGTTATAACCCTCTTATGATTCGCAGTAGTAGAGTGGTTTTTGTGATATATCTCATCCTTAACCGAACTATAAATTAAGGTCAAGGTACTCCATAGGCGAATTATCATCTACGACTGAGGTATTGCTCTTCGAAAAAATGAGTATGAAGCTTTATACCTCAACATTATGAACAGTTCAATCTTATTGGTCCACGTATCACGTCATCACCTAATAGGCTCAAACATGCAATATTACTGGATTTTGTTATTATTTATTGTTGTTATTATTATGATTATTGTTGTTGTGTTGAAGTTTGAGAAGTCATGATCCACCACAATTATTATTGAATATATATGAAATCAAGTCAAAATTGGGAACTTTGGGCATTAATGCTGCATCACCAAACACGACCCGACCCCCTCTCTCTCCCCTCCTTTTTTTTTTAATATCAAAATTCCACTTATTCACACACCATCACTCCACTCTTTCCTTTCTTTTACCAATAATATTGCTTCACAGCTATCCACCCAATAAATCAAATTACTTCTTCCATTGTTAACATTATTATTTTCCACTTCCTTTTTCTTTTTCCTTGCCCTCTGTTTCCCTACACAGAAAATAAAATTCACTTTTGGTATTTTAATTTTTAATACAAATACTATTTACTTCCTTATTAGTATTTCTAACTTAGATTTACAAAATATTAATGAATACAATTGGCCATCTTCATCTATATTCTATCACTCCATACTGTGCTCCATTAAGGGTACTAAATTAATAAATTTGAATAGTTTAGAACGCAGAAGATGAAAAATGGTGAACAAAGAAAGAAACAAAACAGAATAAAGCCATCCATGGCTGAGAATCCGAGGAATTGTAAAAATTGATTTGGAATTTTCTCTCCCTCTCTCGCCCTTTTTTTTTAAAAAAAAAAAAACAATTGATTTGGAATTATCAGTTTTATTGATTCCGATCCAGCGGGGAATCGTAACGTCCAGCTAAGTTTTTAAAATAATCCCAAACAAATTCCCACAAATTAGTTTCTAACATAAAGGTATGTATATATTATTTATATATATCAAGATATAAGCAATTAAGAAAATCTGAATATTCCTCCAAATCGCAACATTAATTGTTTTAACTTTCATATTTTAATCTTAATTTTTTATTTTATTTCAAAAAAAATATATGAACTTAATCAAATTGAGAAAAAAATAGAAAAAATGCTAATATATTAATACAATTTCAGGGTGCCAGCCAACTGCCACATTCAACGGTGGTTACAATACAATCCTTTATTTCCAAATTAAACTCTACCATTATAAATGTTTATAATAATTAAATCCAAAACCATACCTAATATAATATTTATTAGAATTAAACCATAAACCCTAAACATAAACCCCTAAACTACGAAATAAAATTTTCTGATAAATAGTGAAAAAAAAAAGTAGTTGGATTTATATTAGAAACCAAATTAATTTCAGACCGAAAGGACCACATAGTTCTATCGAGACGGACAAAATGAGCTGTAAGAACAGAGAAGAGAAAGAAAAAGAAATTTACTCTTTCAACTCCATCGATAAACCATTGTAATTCTCGAAGAACAAAAATTAATTAAAAAAAAAAAAAAGAAGAAATCCTCATCCCTGGACGGCTCTCAAAGCACAGGAAAACCCAGAGGACATGAATTTCTCTCTCTCTCTCTTCTTTTGCGACTCTTCCTCCCCATCAAAAAAGCACTTTCCCGGAAAATTCCCAACATTTTCCCGAGAAAATCAGTCTTTTCCAGCAAAAACAAAATCTCATCATCGTTATAACAACAATAACAAACATTAATACTGATCATGATTGAACCCTAATCTGCAAAACTTGTCACGAGCAAGGCACGTTGAGAGCTTCATCCACCCAACAAGATATGTCGTCATTCCCAAAATCGCTGAAATCGCAGTCCGGCAGCCCGCTCGGCTCGTCGTCTTCGAACCCATAAATCTGAACATCGTCCATGGCGGTGAAATCGTCGAGGAACTGACCGATGTCGTCCATGAAAAACGGGTCTAGCTCCGGCAGCCCCAAATTGAGCTCGCCCACGAATCCCAAATCGGGCATTTGGAGTTCGTTCATCAAATTCGCGTCGATCATCATCACTTCCTCCTCCTCCTTGATCAAAACAGAGGACGAAGTTTCCATTTCGGCGGCGGTGGTGGCGACGGCGGCGGCCGGGGATGTCTGGGACACGACGCTCTCCGATTGGGTCTCCTCCGCGGAGGCGGAGGAGGCGGCGGAGGAGGAGGAGAGGTTGATTTTGGGAGGGGAGGCGGCGGCGGCCATGGCGGATTCGAACTCGAGCCGCTTCGATTCGTAGGCCTGGGAGGCTTCCTCTGCTGTGTTGTAAGTTCCGAGCCAAATGCGGGCTCCTTTGAAAGGATCTCGGATTTCAGCGGCCCATTTCCCCCATTTTCTCTGGCGAACCCCTCTGTATTGGGAGGCTGTTCTTCTGGTCGACAGGGTTTTGGCTAAAACCCTCCTTTTGCCGCCATTGTTGCTGTCTTGGGAAGAGCTCAGAGTGGTGGTCGTGATGGTGGGGTCCGTTGATTTCGAGTGGGATGGGAACAAAGGGAGGTGGATTTCTCTGACGATTCGTTTGGATTTGAGAGATTTCGAATCGTCTCCTTCATCTTCGCTGGAAGATGAATCGGTTGCATCCGGATCGTTACAGATGACACGGATTTTCCGGGTCATTCTCATTTCTTGGGGAAGATTCAGTCTCGGCTTCGATTTTCTTCCGAAACTTTTCTGATTCGCTACTTGTAAAACTCGAGGCTCCGGCATCTTTAGAAGGTAAAAAGAAAAGAAAGAACAAAAAGAAGTGTAGGGAAAATTTTGGAACTCTTCAAAGGAGGGGCAAAGAAAATGAATCAAAAATCGAAGAAACCAAAAACGAAAACGAAAACGAAAGGCAGTTTTTGATTTCAGGTGAAACCCCCTCTTCTGAAGAGCAAAAGAAGGAATGAGAATCGTTTTACATGAGAAGCTCCAAAGCACTTCACTCCAGAACAAGTCCTGCAGAAGAAACGAAAACAAAATCAGAACAAAACCCAGAACACGAAATAGATCGAAACAGTAAAAAGATTGAAGGAAAGGGGAAAAGAGAAAAACCCACAAACCTCTTGGGTCTCAAACGCATCGAAACAGATGGGAACCCCAGACTCAGACTCTGCTGGAAACAGCAGAGAATCATACAGCAACAGAGAGCCAAGCAAGCGATTTGAGAAGAAGAAGAAACAGAGAGCTTCAACAGAGCCCCAATCACAGCCAAGTCAAACCCAGCCGACATAAATCTCCACCTCCTCAACTCCCAACAACTCTGTTTCCTCTTTAGAGAAATTTCTTTTTCCAAAAAGAAAAACAAAACTCCTCTCCCTCTCCCTCCCTCTGCCCTTCAAACAGAAGAGAAATAAGCAAAACGAAGATAATAAATAGGTGCAAACCAAAACCAAAACCAAGAACAGAGAGGGGATTACAAATCTATGGCTACGGTTCCCCTATCGCAAAAACGTGACAAAGATCAGTTGAAACTTTTTATCTTATATCGTCTCTCTGCAGAAAACAGTGAAATAGACCTCAGAGCCGCTCAAGTTGCAGACCCAAAACAGAGAGAAGAAAAAGACAGAAGAAGACTCTACGACTGAATTGCTATAACAACGAATACACAAATCTCCATACAAAACATCACACAACACAGAGATATAGAAATAGCTATATTATTAAAAAAAATTAAAAATTAAAGCAAATCAAACCACACCCATTTGACCAAAAAAAAAAAAAAAAACTTAGAATATGAATATATTATACCTCTATGTGTGTGTCTCTCTCTCACTCTACAGTCTCTCACTAGAAGGCTGGCTTCTCCTGTTTAGCCCATTATTCACCTTTCCCCAAGCAGTCAAAATCCTTCATTATTAAAGGAGAGAGCCGAGTATCAAAATTAAATTAAATTAAATTTCTGATATGGAAATTGTTTTCATTAAATTAATTACGTATTTTATTTTTCTGATATGGCATGTGCTCCTCCACCATCATGCACATTCATGCGTTATGCCCATCCCATCCACCATCTCATGTGTATTATGCCGTTACGCACCCGCGCGTCCCACTCGCGCCCCTTAGCGCGTGTGCCACACGCCCGAAACGTCTCCCGAGGAACTACCCCTCACGCGCCTGCCCCTGGGAAGGAAGGTGGCGCAGCGGGCCGTCAGTGCATTGTCGGGAAGTTTGTCCTACGCGATTCGGTCAAAAAAAAGGGCATGTTATTTGGTGAAATTACGAGACTGCCACTGAGGATGATACTTGGTCCCCAAGCTTGTGTACTAACCATATATACGATTATCTTTCCCGAAGATTCTTAGAGGTCAAACGCAGAAAAAAAATAATTTAGTTAATTAATATATTTCAGTCAAAAATCAAAAGAAAAAAAAAAGGGGGAAGAAAATGATTGTGTCGAAATTATAAGGAATTGCCATCTTAGGAGTCATGAAAAATGCACGATTTGTCGGAATTTAGCAATTTGGATGCAGAGTGATTTAATACTAATGTCGTACGCCTTTTACTTTTACTTCTGTTTTACTTTTTTCCTTTTTTGGTAAATATATTTCTTACCTTTTCCTTTTTATTTTTTTACCTTTTTTTAACTTCTCCCTCTCTTTTCCTATTAAGTAGGACAACATCTATATCTATCTCCCACATAAATACTTTCGATGAATTGAATCTCGATTTTATTCAGAAAGTTGTTGAAATTTTGTTCAAGTTTAAATTATATTTTAATTTTCAATACTTATGCACATTTTATTTCATTTAGTTTGGTTTCTAAAATTCATAGGCCTTTTTTTTTGTTGGAGTATCAAATCAAAACCTACCATACTTATTGTACTCAACAAAATTCAATTACTCGGTAAAAATTTAACAGAATAAACATAAAACAAAATAAATAAATATGGAAGTGTCTATTTTATTATCAATTTAGGTTTAGTTTTATTTGGGGACACAAAATGAAATCAAATCAACCAGCCCAGTAAGACCAAACCAATGACTTTTATGACAATTTGTTTGGTTGGATCATAGATATAGCTGCCAATGCTTTCTAATTAATTTATTATTTTATTATTGATCTTCTTGAATAATTTGCTTTAATAAGGTTAAAGTTTGCAAAGTGACTCAATTTCTAACCTCAACTTTCAATTTTGTCAAATTAGATTTTGACAATAATAAATATCGTAAGTATTGCAATTTTTAATTTATGGTAGACTTTTGTTTGAAAATTATTTTAAAATATATTTGTATTGATAGGACTTTAGAATTTAGAGTTGGATTTTTATTTAAACTCGTGAATTTTGAGAGGTTTATTCTTGTACAGTTACCAAGACTTTTAATAAAGTTAATGATAATGGAGAGGTTTTCGTGTTATTTTTCTTTTTAAATCAGTGGGTGAATGTAACATTATTAAATTACAACGTCTAGGTTTCATTTGATTTTTTCCTAAATAATTCAGAAAGAACCATATGAACAAACCAACGATTTGGTTCAATTTTGTTTCCTTACAATAAGTAGAAAGCAGCAATGATTTTATTAGAAGTTGAATCAAATGCAGTTTACCCTTCCAGCTTTCACATCTTTTTTTTATATATATATATATATAGCAACTTTCACGTCCAAATTTAACTTTTTTTAATTACTATCCTAAACGGGTGAACCTCAGACTCCAAAAGAATAAGTTATATGTCTCTGTGCTCAACATAAGCATAGTTCAGTAATTGATATGTACTCCTTCTCCTGAGGTTGAAGGTTCAATCTCTGTAACTCTAAATTATTGTATTAAAGAAAAAAAATTAAATAAAAACTTGATTTCGCGAATAATATGGGAATCAATCCAATTAAAATTTGTGACGCCCAAGTAGAAGGATAACTAACACCAAGTTCAAATGAGAATTATCCTAAGACTATACCAGCATTGTTAAAAATGCTTTAAAATTTTGATAGTTAGTACCTATATACTAATTACAAGATACACGTTCATTTTCGATGGCTCAAATTTAAGAACTTTCAAATTAAGCAGACAAATGATGTTAAAAGGATGGATGGAGAGATAATTTCACTCTTAAAAGCAACTCAAGTCAAAAGAGTTATCATCTCATCAGAATGATGCATAGTTGTTGCCGAATTCGAATTCTTAGAAGCATGAGGCATTAAAAAGAATCATTTTTAGAATGCAATTCATTTGCAAAAAACTATTTATCAAAACAAAAAAGGAATTCATTTGCAAAATATGTTGACCACCAGCTTTTAAAATCGTAGAATACGCATCTTTCTAACGAATTTTAAAATTCTAGATTATATCTTAACAAATTTAACCTTGATTTCCATATATAAAATATCTATCACATATAGTTGTCATAATTAATTTA